TGGCCCTCCCACATGTCTGCACACTATGTGTTAATATGAGTCAAGTTCTTTCTAGACTCACAGCTCTTGTCGGTCCACACGTGAAGCTCCTGGGCCAGCTCAGGTATAACCAGGAATGTTCTCCAGCCTTGACGTTTCTTGGATTTGAGGATATCTCCAAAAATATGGTCCCCGATGTATACTATGTCCTTTCCCTTGGCCCCCAGCAAGTCACACACAATGTCTGAAGAGCCTGAATGACATTAGCGTGTTACCAACTATGTATGCATTCTTAAGGTCCACGAATGACAGATGAATAAAGCCTAGCTCAAAGAATGAATGATGAAACAAATAAAGCCTTACCTCCAGAGTAGACTATTCCATGTTGCAGTGGTCCTGTGTAGGTTCCTATCTTTAGTCGTCCTGTTGTCTGAAATGAAGAAAATAAATAAGTCACTAAAAAGTGGGTCTGAATAACCTAAGTGAAGTGAGTGACTGTTTTTGAATCATTCTGCAATTGCTCCATCTTCTTGAAAACAATCATTTATCACTTATGCACTGATGGCATATTTTTAGGGCCTTTACCTCTGCGTTTTTCTGGCATAAATTCATGCTTAAATTTACATAATGTTATGCTTTTTAAATCATTGTGATCATTGCCTTCCCATTAATATATATGAACCAAAATAATTGACATAGAGATTTTGTCTAATTTGACCCTAGAATGGATCCCAGGTTGAGCCAGTGACTAAATCAAAAATGCAAACTACGCTCGAACGACTATCTAACAAAAAATTCACTCATGCACTCTACACTGTTTTCAGTAAGCTGGCCCTCAGTTTGAAACAACTGGTGTGTTTTTGGAAAACAAAACGAACACTCTGCTCTAAGAAATCCTGAACACCCCTGACTGAACAGCAAATAAGGGACCGACTTTAAGCCACAACATAACTCATGCCAGCTAGGGTTCACTTATAATATCTTCTCTGGCCAGAACTCTCTGTTCTGATTTTGCTTACTGTGTCCACTTGTCTGAGCACTGTACCCTCTGCGAAGAACAGCGGTTTCCTGGCATCCACCAGGATCAGATCAAAGTAGGACTGCCAGGGCCGGTGCGGGGTGCCAGGCTGGGGTGGATGGAAACACACAAACATGAGTACAAAGATAAAACCATGATGTACATTTATGTTTGACAATAATAAAAAACAAATTCTTCACCAAATAGAAATAGAAAAAATATGTTTTACCTTTGGGCCATGAGGGAAGTCGAACAAATAGGTCATGATTTTCTGTAACACAACACAACGTCTCTAAGTCTGATGTGACACATACTTTGTTCATAAGCTAATACACGTGTTACCGACAAACTGGTAGAAAACTAATAAAAAGATCTCGGCATTAACTTACTGGCATCTAAGTCTTTCACTGTTATTGCATTACTGTTTTCCCTAATCAGTAAGTTTCCACCATAACTACACACACACACACTTACATCAGTGTATTTGTAGTCACTGTTGGTTGCCAAGAAAACCTTGGATACTTCATTCATTCGGCTGAGAAGAAGAGGCAGCTTTCCCTGGTGGGAACAGAGAAGAAGAAAAGAAAGAGAAAGAATGAAGCTCTAAGCATCTTTACAAACCAGCCTCTTCACAGACTACAAGAGTGTGAGACACTGTGTGTGTTTTCTCTGCAGCAGTGCACTCACAGTGAATACAAACTACTTACATCTTTCACTACATACTTCTCCAAGTTCTCCACAGTCTTCTCCTTCAGCGTACCCTGCAATGTGAGACAAAGGGGTTAGCAAAATCATCAATAACTATAGATATCAGTGAATAATGCTGGATTTCCATCTGTTTCTTTTTCATTAAAAAGCTTCAAAAACGCTGATAAAAACTCTTAAAATGACACGTAAACCTAACTCCTTTGTTTGAAATTGCATTAACATTGGTATAATCTTTCTATCCATTATCATTATGCAATAATGCAACATTTCAAAAGTTTAATCATTAGCTTTAAGACCTCACCGAAATGTGCTTACACATCTTGAACTCACTCCCTTCAGCTCAGAGTGATGTTCAATTTTAGCACACGAAATTAAAACAGCTTTCTAGTGTCAAACTCTAAAGAAAAGATCACTATACACAATAAAGATCAGACATTCTAGTGAAGTAACATTTTAAAGTACAGCTGTATGGTTAATAGCAGTTTAGAAGCAGTAATTGGTGACGACTGCTGCAGAACCTTTGGGACCTTGTGTTGTTTAGTTGTGGCACAATCAGTGGTAGTGTTTCAAGAGTATCTCTAATTCTTCTGTAAACAACTTCTCTTTTTGCAAAGGTTTAAAAATTGGTTTACAGTCTAGGACAAATATGCATGGTTTAACTGCAGTTTATTTTGGAAACAGGTTTTAGTACTTTTTAACTGAATATAAGACATAGTTGACAGAATTTTAACTGTGAGTTTGTGTTAGTATGTTAGTGCAGACTGAAACATATGTGTACAGAAAATATATGCCTGCATATGAACGATGTGATGAATGGCATTATTATTAAAACAGTCTCAAAATTTCCTGTATATGTCGTCTTCACAAATACATATCAAATAAAAACTGGGAGACATTATCCTGATGTTCTTAAGAAAATATTACAAACTTATCTGGATTCTGTCAAGAGACTCAATTCAGACATCGTATGAGGAAAATTTTACAGAAGGATGCCTTCTGTTGTCACATTATGTTATATTTGGCCAGAATAAATTAAAATTAAATGGTTGTGTGTGTGTGTTTCATTCTTTGTCTTTTCTTTTAGGGAGATCATAACTAAATGAGGCTTAAATTCTTACTTGTCACTTTCTTAAGCGAAGAAATTTAATTTCTTTCTTAAGTAAGAAATTAAATCAAATTACATAAATTCATAGCAAACTTATTAGTAACTTGCGATTAAGAGACACAGCACTAACACAAGCCAGGTATTACAGACTCAAAAGGCCAGGTTATCTGTGTAAACGAAGAACTCTTCCATGTCAGGAAGGTAAGGTAGGACTTCCACCAAGACAGAGGAAGGGGTATCACAGAGATGTCAAAAGTATGAGAGGTTGTGATGATATAACATGCCAGTATGTTTATTTCAATTCAGTTATTCTTTGCAAATAATAACTTGTCCTCAAGATATAATTTATGCACTCTATTCCATCACATGATCTAGTTTTAGTTCCAACAAATCAGATTAAATCTTAGTGGTTTCATGTGTTTTACCTTGAAATGGACCCAGTCAACAGCATCCCGGACATCCTGGAACATGCTTTTAAAGGACATGAAGAGGTCGCCATCTTTGAAGCCAGTTTCACAGCTGGGGGAGGGGAGCAAAGACACACACGTACACAGCCGTCGGACAGGCCATAGCTTTATAGAAGGTTTTCAAAAACATGACATTTGTTTTTTGTTTGCTTTTAAATGGGATAGCCTTCCCTTGTTGGAGGGGTCCCCAGCCAAACAGGAAAACATTCTCCCCCTAAAAGACCAACAACCAGGTTTCAGAGGACAAAGGACATGCAACCATTCCAGATTACATTCTCAAAAAAAAATTACAGGCCATTAAATCTCCTTACTTTAACATTCAGAGGATTATCTTGTTGTTATATCAGGATTTCATTCTCTGCAAATAGTTAGTAATTGTTTTTATTCCTATCTGAATTTGATAAGAATCCATACTTTTTCACAATTGGTAGAACTGATTAATAGATATAGTAATTGTAATCGAAACGAAGGGTTATTCGACTGAACTCCCATTGGATTAACAATAGAATTAGATGAGATTAGCAGCTGAGACACCTGAACCCTCCCATGCGTTAGGGCTTGCTCTTGACCCTTTGTGGCTTGCAACTGTCATGGTCTCATCATGCGGCGCCCAGAAACTTGTTGCAGGCCAGATAAAGCAGAGAAAGGTTTTCTTACCTGTCATATCTATCACAGTTGGTGAAGAAATCCACAAGGCAAGCAAAAAGGTAGGTCTCTGTGGATGAAACAGGAAGATTGGAAGATAATGTCAAGAACCTCAGTGAAATTATTTGCCGCCCCAGCCTTCCAGATTTAGATTCTGTTGTACACATTCATCCCATTCTTCTGTATGGGAAAGTTTTTCCCACCACCACCACAATACGCCAATTTTTATCATCAGACTTAAACACTGGTCTTACTGTTAAGCCCACCAGAGACTTGACTTTATTTAGCAGCTAAGGAAATAGAGAGTCAGTCTGTAAGGTATGATCCATTTTATATGGCTTCACACTAAGCCACAAGAATCACCAGCAAGGCCAGAAGCATCATCCCTGACCAATCCTCCCTCATGACCTTTCCATTCTTTTCCCACTGGGCAAAACCATTACTAGCTGAAGATATTTAGGGATAATACTCCAAGCTATTAGGCTCTTGAAGATGCATTGAAGCTCTTATTAATTCACTTTACCTACATCAGGTTGTGCTCATAGAATCGAAATGCATTGGGCACTAAAATGTGTATGTATGTATCGTGCATTTGCAATATTAACTGTACTACTTGCACTATGGAGTGTTCCCTTCTGCAATCTGGACTATATCCTGCTGCACTAAAAATCACTTTAAAGGTAGATACACTGAGTTACTATGGGTTGATCTGTTACATGCACTTGTATTTTGTATCACGTTGTGCGGTGCTGTGTGTTGTGGGATGTGTCTTGTTTTATATGTGAGCACACCATGACAATTCCTATCAGTTATTTTGTTGAAATGGCTACAATAAGCTTGAACTTGAACCCACCTGGCAGATTGAAGAGGGTGTTGAGGATATAGAAACGCTCTGTATCATCTCTCTGGATAAACTTGTTGGGGTACCGTTCACGGATCTCTGGGCTGGAAAAAGCAAAAAAGCACAAAAGAGAATAAAATGTTTTATCAAATGTTTATATTTATGATGCTTGCTTGTATGCAGAGATCTGTGCATTTTGAGGGGGAATGTTGAAAATACCTACCCTCGCAGGAAGTTGAATCCATGGACACAGACCAGGATATTACCGTAAGCATCAACCTTCAACAAGTTTCCATACATGGTATCAAACACAAGGCCTCTGAAAAAAGGAGCAGAGGGATGCATGATTTTGCAATACACGAGTAAGACAGCCTTTCTAACTTTCTAACAATCATATCACTTGGCACTTAAACTCCTGTCACTTGTTATCTTTTACTACAAAATAAATACAGTGACACTGAACTTTGCACAGGTGATGGGGTTTTTCATACTATTACTTGGCTAAGATAGATATCTCAGCTAAAAGGTTAACTGGATTACAAAGTTTAGAGATTAGGCAACAGAAACAGCAGTTGGTCAATAATCAGATGGCCACGATCAATCTCATGATGTCTGTGCAGAGAGATGGGATTGGTCTCACCTGGTGGGAAATGATGGGTCATAGACGAAGCTCAGGAGCTCCTGAGGATAACCGATGGACACTAGCCGTTCCACTGTCAGCTCAAAGCCTAATGATTCATATTCAGGTGACTTATACACTACAAAGGAAACACATACACATTAGTTTAGTAAATAATGCCAGCTGCTCATAACAGTGTCCTGTAGACACTTTAAAAACTGTGAAATGTTACATGAAAGAAGTTAATATTATAAAAATGCACACATATAGAATCAAACAAATGATTGGTTATCAATGTAACAGATTTTAAATCAGATGTTTAAAAACTTTTTCCCCCGTTTATTTGAATTTGTATTTATTACCTTTTGTAGGATAACTACTAAAGCACTTTGAATCACCTTGTTGTTGAATTGTGCTATACAAATAAACTTGCCTTGCCTTGCCTTGCCTTACTTTAATATTGTCAGTGATGCTGTACTGAAATGGTATCGATCTGAAAACTTGACTCAAATTTATACAAACAATGTTGTATTTAAAAACCCCAGAAGCATAGCCTGTGGGGTGATTCGATGGCAAACAATGGTTAAAGAGGTGATATGCATTTTGTTGCACTTACTCAAGTTACACAACAAATAAGTTTGAGTTTTCAAAGGCCACCTTATCCATTTGAGATCATCTTGTCTGTATTTTGTCAACAACATGTTTTCACTCTACTGGAACATCCCCTCACACCCAATGCCCTTCTCAGTCCTGGCTACCAACACGGACCAGGATGTTCTGCATGTAAATCCACAAAGAAAGAGGATCAGGCGGGCAAAGGAAAAATCACTTGATGTTAAGCAGTGGCTTTAATGAGCCCAACTGACGAGCCCCTAACCCGTCGCTGCCAGTGGTAGATATTTACCCCAGGCTAAACGAAAAGCGAGACAGGAGTGGGCTCTGGAAATTAAAACATACAGTGATGCAAGGCTAAAAAAAGACTGGCAGAGGATTAAAATGCTTTCTGACAGGGGGAAAGAATATGTCAGATGTTATAAATATGAAACAGAGAATGCACTGGTGTTAATGCTTGCTTTCTATACCCCCAGTGGGGTGGTGAAATATTGGCTCGTGATACTTAGAGAAGAGTTAGTTGGAGGGAACAGCACTGTAGGTCAAGCAGGAAAACATCTGTGTCCTACTCTGGAAAACGTGTGTGCATACACAAGTCCTGGGTTATACAGAGAGATGATAAGTATACAGAGAAGTACAGGAAAAGCCTGGGTTCAGTAAAGCTCTGTTCTTTTGTTGACACCTTTACTCTGTAAGCATGAATTCAATCCAATTTTATTTAAACAGCGCCAAATCACAACAATAGTCGCCTCAAGGCGCTTTATATTGTAAAGACCCTACAATAATGCAAAGAAAACAAAGAAAACCCCAACAATCATATGATGTAACTGCATGAGGCAGTTTCTGCATTATAATCACGTAACCTCTTGTAGTTCACCCCCTGCTGTGTTCTCCCAGTAAACAGGGTTTGGGCCCTCTGCCCAGAGCAGCAGCATACACCAATATAACTGCATTCCCCCCTCCTCTTTGCTTACTTGTAATATTCCTCATGAAGCTTTGAGTTGCTACAAAGAAGCCTATTTTAAAACCTGTTTCCCCTATGTCACCCTCTTCACTTGAGGTCACTGGGAGTCTCTCTTTACATGTTGTCTTTTGGAAATTAGTACATCCTACACATAAAACAGAACAAATCAAATCTCATAATGAGTTTGTCAGGCTGGAAAACAGAATCAGGAAAATGGTTTGATAAATAATAATTATTCTAGATAATTTTAAAACCTACGGGACAGCTAAAACTCCCTACTTCACAAAGTTAATATTAGGTCAAAAGCCACTAAAGTTCCCCCAGTAATTGGCTTAAAATGTCATTTTGTCCATAATGTTACTGTTTAATAAAAGTGCACCAGCCAGAGTTAAGTTTGGAATGAACCATGGTTAGGTATTTTATGTTAAAAGCCCTTTACATCAAATCTTCGAATTGTGAACTGTTGATAGACTATGGTAGAACTGTTTCATGAAAGCCACACCCAAGACTGCATAATGCAACATAAAGCTGCATGTTTTAGTAAATGACACATCTGAGATGCTCATGTTTACTGCATTTTTTGGAAACAGGACGTTGGGTTATTGTTGTTTGCTGTGTCCTTGACTCTCTCCCCCTGTGGTGGGAACTTCAGAGATCTGTTTCCCTTTTTATCCCCAATGAGACTGATGCCAGATAATTATACTCCCACTGCTGAGCAGCAACGTACGTCTCCAGAGTTTATAGGCCAGGCCACCACAGGCCTACATGTAACGTAGACCTCTTGCATACAAGATAAACAACCAGCAGAAAGCCCTTCTGCTGATAGACCCTTATCTCCAAATCAGATATAGTGTGTCGTACAAGGAGACTCTATCTGACCCATTTCACACAGCAATAATTTAACTTATGTCTTAATATTTGCACAGAATAAAGTGGAAATGTAGGTCTCTGTGACAAATTTACAACACTATGAAGCATATTGTGGGAAAATTAGAAAGCTTAAATATTGCCTCAGGGGCCCACATTCCAGCCAAAAGTCTGTGAGAAAACTAGGACAAACCTGCTTGTATCTCTCACTGCAATCTGGGCCTAAAACTGTGTTTGAGCAACTTTCTGCAGGGTGTTACGTGTTCCCTTTAGGAGCAGAAGAACAGATGAAGCAATGTTGTCTCAACCAATGCTAATTCAGTTTACAAAGTCTTACAAAATGTATGATATTTGCAATTTGTTTGCACTGAAGCTTTAGAATAGAACAAACTTTTCACCTCTTCTTATATTCATGTTGAGCAAAATGGCACAAAATGTCTCATTCTGGAAGTCACTGTACGTCATTACACTGATGCATGACGACAATGCATCATGAGATTGTCTATAACAATTTAAAATACTTATGCTGAAATTAAAAATATGCCCTAAAATCACATTTTCTTTGACCGTCTTTATTCCAAGAGCTATAGACAGTCATATGAACACAAAATACTTTAATTTTTGGTTAATTAGTTTGTTTACATTGCATTTCTTTTATAGTCCGTGCTCTTCTCAAAAGTTTGAAAGGGATAACAGGAGCACAGCTGGTAACAGGCGATGGTGAGGTCTCCAAGAACCAATCGTAATTTCTCAATATCTGAATTAAAATGGAATTCCCCTGTTGCTGGCATAGTGAAATTTGATTACACAGCAAGCTTCATGAATGGATTAGATTGTTGCTTCTTTTTTGAATACATTTAAATGTATCAAAAATGCTTTGACATCTGAAACCAATGTCACAAGAACTTTAAAGGCACCTTAATAGTTTTTTTCCTTCGCATTCCTAGCAATATTTCCTTCCCAAACTTTACCTTTTTTTATTTGATACATAAGATGTGATTTTTCTGAGCTTTTTAAGGCTATTTTAGTATGTCACTGTAAGCACACGGATTAATCCAGAAAAACAAAGACAATTATCTTCATGAATCAGGACATGGAGTGCATTTCCTGCTTCAATCACAATCGCATACCAAAGTAAAGAAAAAGTTAACTTTTTAAAACGTTTTATGATATGACCGTTATCTTCAGCTTAAATTCACTATGCAGAACTGCAATATATGCTGAATACACACAATAGTAGTCTTTGCACAGTGTGATATATGCTAAATTGATTACAGTTGACAGGGACTGTGTTTAAAATTCACCCAAAGCCGCACACAATCTCCGAAGATAAGCAAAATCATTACATTAGGTTTTGCATACGTTCAATTAACTTAAGGGTTTTCCCCAAAACCCACTATTTTTTCAAAATGCTTAATGACTGCGAAAAGAATTACTGAAAAACTGCTCTTGGTTTCCCTGAGTTTTAGACTTGCTCTGTTTGGAAACACTCGGCACACAACAGACATGCCACAATGAAGGCAGTGAACTCAATAAAAATCACAACTCTTTAATCATGTTGACAACTGCTCCCATCCACTCCTAATATGTTACACTCAGCCACCGCGCTTGTTATGCAAATTGTACATATTTGAGAACTGCTAGCTTAAAATAGCAAAATATCTTCAAATCTTACAGATTCTTGCCAACTTATCTACAAACTGAGACAGGAGCCCCTCATCTCTATAGGAGCAGCACTGTAGGCAACATCTTCACATCATCAGATGTGGACAGTGGAGATTGAAATAGCAACTGATGTTTAGTTTTGTCATACTTTCTAAACTATAATCTGTGTTTTCATTTGTTCATGTGTACCAAAATTTCCTGACAAGATATTATTGAGTTTTTACATAGTGATTTAAAAAAATAAATTATGTGTCTGCTTTAAATCTCTATTTTTATAATCCCAATCTTTCTTCCTTACCTTTTTCCATAAACATTGCAAAAAGCAAGTAATATTTGAAATGTACATATTTAAGGCGTGCTGCACATCTGAACCGTCTTCTATCACATAGCGTTGCATGTGATTAAGCAACAGTCAATCTGAGGAAGCAGTTCTGCGATCAAAATGTGAACACTCTCCAAAGATACACGATAGCCACCCTTCAAGCAAACATTAACACTTGGTTATGAGCTCCCATAAAGAGAGTCACGTCAACAGCTGAGCATCTGTAAAATCTCTTATACCCCAAATGGTGATAGGGGTCCAGAGTCAAAGAAGAACTACAAGTGACTCTTGTTCTCAGGGGAGCCGTCATTGCTGAACTCAACAAACAAACGTGACCTGTTTTTCAAAGTCAGGGAAGATTTATTTTTAGATGTGTAGAGACCGAAAACTGGAGCTGAGTCACAGAACAAAGTGGCATGAAAAATCAGGATATTTTTAGCCAGGTTGCTAGCCACTAGGAAAAAGAACATACGCAATTAAGTCTGTGTTACAGAGAGCTACTGCTGGCTTAACATTTCGTTATCCTAGTGTTATGGCATACTCAGTGTATCACTATCATTGACCTAAATAATACTTTGTGGACAACAAGCTGTGGTTCAGGGGCAATGGTAGGGTACCCAAATATAGAGCTGAAAAGAAAGGGATACTATAGACTTCAACATCTACACCAAACATGAGGTCACAGCACATTTAACAGCTAGGGATTTTTTTTTCAGCTTCTAAAGGCACATAAATAAATGCGCTCTCAAAATCTAAATTTAACGTGACGACCACAAAGTTGGTTTCCCTTTCAATCAATGCCACTCCAAGACCCTTTTATAGATTCATTACATAACGTTTATCAAGATAGGAATGGTCATTTTGACAAGACTGTATTGTTGATGACAGCACATACGAGCCATGTAAACTGAGAATGTGCTATACAGCACTCCAGCCAACTTGGCCTGCATACCAAAACCCTAAAAAGTGCTGATTAGTTAGATCAATAAGTGATCAATTGTTTATTAAATCTAAAACACTTTTGGACCGTATATAATAAACGTCTCTTAAAAACTGGCAAATTTAGAATTACAAAGAAGTAAAAAATAAAAAAGATCAAAATCATAAAAATAATTATAATCTGACTGTGACTTTGTCATTGGGTCTTTTCTTTTCAGCCGTTATGTTGTAGAGTTAATGGTATGCTTGGGATCATTGTCCTCTTGCATGACCCAGTTTCGACCATGCTTTAGCTGTCTAACAGATAGCATCATCTTTCACTCCAGTATACAGAGTAGTTCATGGTCAGCTCAGTGGCTGCATGGTAACCAGGTCCTACATTTGAAAAACAAACAAACAAACAAAAAAACCCAAATTATCACCTCTTCACTACTGTTCTTGACAGTTGGTATAAAGTGTTTGTGCTGTTATGCTGTACTTGGTATTAAACTGCATTATAGTCAAAGAGCTCCACTTTGGTGTCATCTGTTCAAATGTCATTGTTCTTGTGTCTTGTGTTGATTTTTTGTTTGTTTGGGTTTTTTGGTTTGTTTTTTAAATTTGGTTTTAAATTTTTCTTTGCATTGTCAGAACTTGGGGTAAATTTGTGGGGTCCTCCCCTGGGAAAACTGTGAAACTGTGATAACACATCTCAATCCAGAAAACTGCCAAACGTCTGCTTTTACAGAGGTGGTCCCACTTGCTGATGATCAATTAATCAACTGTATCCGATTAGCACCTGGATGCTATTTACAGTCTTAAGTCCAGGAACCATTTAGGGTATAATTTGTTATAATAGGACTGCATAGTACTGTGAAATCTCTTTTTCAAATGATAAATAGGCATTTTTTTCCCTCCAATCACTGACTTCATTAGTTAGCTGATTATCCAAACTCTGATCTGATTATCACTGATTGTAATTGATTGTGTGATTGTGTATTTAGCTTACCTGCTAAAGTGTAATCCATATCAAAGCCAAAGCACTTAATCTTCTCCATTGCCAAGCTTCTGTTGACAAAGATTCTGGGGGGAAAAAGTTTTTGTAAATTTTATGTAATCATCCACAACAAATTATGACTCATAGCAGTTGCCCCAAGTGAGAAAAAGAAGAATGTTATCCCACATATACATTTCCAACAACTGTCATTTTTTCTTCCAAGTACAACTTTGAAATTTTATCAAAAGGTACATCTATAGATTTACATTTTATCAAGTCAGGTCATTTAGACTCAGTGCCTTTCACTGTGCATGCGTAGACTGAGGTGTCAAAATAACTGTGAAAATCAAATATAGAAAAATACATAAAGCAAATGTAAAAAACACAATAAAAATAAAAATGTGACTCCTATTAATAACGGTGTAACTTTTGAAAAATAAGAGTGTAACTCTTATTTTTGCATTCTTTTGTACAGTTATGATTGCAAACCTAGGTGTCACCTCTATGAGCTTGCAGTTTGAGTTTGTTTGCCAAAAAAGAAAAAAAAGACTACACCAAATAAACAATGATATAGGCAATTTATAGATTTGACTGATAGTTACAGCCCTATTTTTTCAGATTTTCTGTACAGTATCATTACTTCAAATTATCAAATTATCGACATGAATCATAAAATCAAAATATGATAAGTTCTAACATGGACAAATCTTGTTTACTGTTGGGTATCCTTAAGTGTCTAATCTAAAGGTCAGAAAAAAAGATGAAGTTACTACTACTACTACTTCTCCAAATTTGGCAATTACCACACAGTGTAAAAGAATAAATTCTGTTATTGTGTTAGGTACAGAGCCTTAAGAAGCCAAAAGGCAGCTTATGACAAGTACTTAAGAGGAGCTTACCAAGTCATTTCAGCCTTATTAAACACCAATATATAACACATAATTAACTACATTTTAGATGCTGTAATGAAAATGAGAACTAAATATCCATTTCAGATCACTTCATCTTTGTATGTACTGGAAATACCATGCCAGGATGACGGTTCTTTGATACTTTCATTATTACAAGTAGTTTGTTTCTCTAGAGCGTATTTCATGAGATCTACTTGCTTGCATGTTCCTTAAGAGTAAGGAACATGCAAGCAAGTAAATTAATACACATAATTAGTTCTGATAATATCTTAAAATACTTTAATATAAAGTGGCCACAATGGAAGCCAGCGCTTCATAGACACAGAAAATACAGCCACACACTGTCTGCGTAACTCCGACTGCTAGCACAGACCTACATAACTTATCTTCTACAGCTGTGACATAGTTGAAATTCTATACAAGTCAATATTTAATCATACAAGAACTGAAATATGTATCAGACCAACAGAAAAATCAAGAATGACACTAAATTAAAAACAAGGGTGAACTGATACACAAGTCTAAAACTGCAAGGCATCTAATCTTCTCATTTTTCTGTGACAATGGTCTATTTATCTTCACCAATGTCTAAATCAGTTGTGAAATACCTGGCAGCGGCTCCATAGTGAACAAGTTCCCATTTAGAGCAAAGTCCACGACACGACTGGCAATGCATTCTGTGTGAAATTAAACCTCGGTTTGACTCTCCGGTGGTCTGACACTGCTCCAGCAACGCAGGGCAACACTGGACCCACAAACAAAGCCCCCCTCCCTCTCTCTCTTTGCTGTCTTGCCATTCAGAAATTTTCTGACTTTTTGCAAAAATGATTGTGGCCATTCTGCGTCATTCTCTGTTGTTGTGTGCTGTCAGTCAGGGTTGTTGTGAACCATGATGTTTGTGGGCCCTCAAAGACATCTAGAACAATCACAAGTCGGGTAGAATCAAGCACGCCAGTGCCACAAGCTACAGCTGCTTCCATTACTCACATCTGGTTGAATATACACATTTGTCGTTGGCCTACAACTACTGGTTATTTTTTAAATTCATTTTTGTGGCCGTGAAAACTGCCAGTTGTGATTTTCAACAGAAAATTACCTCTTCAAATATCCTTAGACTTCTTTATTCAAATAAAAATTTAATTAAATATGTTTATGCTGTAACTGTTAACAAAGTTAATACTACTTTTTACTTTCTTTCTTTTTTTAATGTAAATCCTTTCTTACAAATAAATCAATTTTGTAGATGAAATTAAGTGCTACTGAATCTCAAACTGATCACCTGTAAAAAAACAAAAAAAACCTGATTTACAACTTCAGGTTAACGACCTTTTAAACTTGAAAAACGTGTACTCAAATATCAAAATGCTATATCAAATTTGATCATCTATATTTATTTTATATATTTAGTTGCTTATAAAAAATGAGCCTATTCTGGCCTTATTTTGACATTTAACATTTAACACTGGCTCATCAAAATAGGATGTGCTCCTCATCAGCCAAAACAAATACAGTCAACATTTCGCAGGGATGAACAAAGGATTTAATGTTTAAATCTTTTCTATTTCTGTTTTGCTGCTGCCATTATTATGTAACCTCTTGCCAGATGCCTGTGGGAGGGGTAGTAAGAACGGCCATAAATGATAAAGCGTGCCCCTCCTAAGATCAATTACAGTAGTCAGCCTTGACTTTGGCCCTGCTGACATCAGTATTGCTTCAAATAGTACCTACAAGTGAATCCCTTAATAACTTTTACTCCATCTGAGCGCAGCTGAAGAACAATCAGCCAGATTTTTTCCACTGCGCTCTAATCTCATGCAGACAGCAACTCAAACGTTTATCTGCACTGGACAGAGCCATCAGCCCCCTGCAATGTGATATACACAGGGTGCACTGTTTCGGCTGAGCTCTTACTTTGTTGGAAAGGTCTTTGTGAGTCTGTAAGATAAACAAAAGGTCACGCTTAAATCAGAAATGATTTCACTGAACAAGAACTTCTGTCACATTGTTTCAATGAGCACCTTTGAACTTTCACTTAGCACTGCATGTGTAACCCTTTGCTGGTTCATGAACTGGTTGATTTATTCCCCAGCAGCACATGCAGAACAAACAAATGAGTGATGGTTTCATAAACTTTGTGAGCACTGCATATTTTATAATAGCATGGAAGAAAAGCAGTACCCATTGTAAACATGCCTTAGAGTTAAACATTGAAAAGAAACACTCATTTTATTGCTCTGACAGGGAATAAACTCCTGATTATGTCAGTATAACTGAACGGACTTTACTACAAGCAGGTAAAGGAACAAGGATGTTTATAAGTGAAAAGATATATTAATGGTCAATAAAGCTACTTACTGTACAGTCAAAGCCATAAACTCCCTGCAAAACCAACTACATGTTTAATATGCTGAGCATAAACAGGATCTGGATTCGTCCATTTAGCCCGTGGGTCTTGTCATTCTGCTGATGTTTCATGAGTGAAAAATTTTGCATAACAGCTACAAAGACCACACCCTAGTCACAATCAATTCTATGAAACATCTAAGGCAGCACAGCCTGCTTCACAGTCGAAGTGACAAAGAGACATAGCCTAGTACATGCTGAGCACCAGTGGCAGACTACAAGTAAAATAAGACGGGAATTAAACTGGAAAACACAGCACGCTAACAGGATAATCACAGATTAGTCAATCACTCTGTTCTAATGACAATAAGTGATACACAATGTAAAATCTAAGAAACACACTTTAGTATATTTTTAAAATGTATGACATGCTTTGCCATGGTGAAATAAATAGTAACAAGCTACTGTCATAAACTGTTGGGTAAGCCAAAGACCACCCAACACAACTCAACTGGTTAAGTCATGATTTGAGTTATCGTTGTTATAGTTACTTAAAAGAGCTATATGTTACTGTTGGTGTAAAAAATAAATTAATCAATCAATCAATTCTTAACGGAAATACAAAAAACCCCAAATACATTTTTAAAAAAAACCTTAACGAAACAATGTTTCTTACTAAAGAGAAAAACATCATTACAAAATAAAGACACAGAGGCAATACCTTTAGTTTTAGTTCCAAATTCCTAAACACATTAAGTATGAGGCAGCAGTGTGAACTGAGTCTGGCACATGTACATAGCTGTGAGTCAAATCCTGTATTGTAATAACTGATCTGAACTTTATAAATTTGTCCTTTAAAAGCAGACCTACATTATAATAACCAAAGACTAGAGCTAACACTGAAACTGAGAAAAATAAAACTAAACTAAACATTTCCAAGCAATAAAAGCTAAGCTGAAACAAACAAACACACTCGTGAAACAAAGGAAATTTAACTCAATTTCTTTGACTACTCGCTGATGACAAATTGGTAATAAAAAGGAAACAAAAAACACAAATATAAGCTGTCCGAAATTAATAATGGTAGTTTCTTTAGTGTCCTGATGTCTGTATCACAGAGGGGCCCTGGATTCCTTTGTGGTTCTGTATATAACTATGCAATTCATTCTGTAAACCCCTCTGTGGTGGGTGGCCATACAATCCATCGTTTTAACAAACAGAAACTGCATATTATTAGTTTTCATATTACAGAATGGACGTCCACAATATTTTATTATTACCTGAAGATTTAACCTCTTAATGAAAGCTGAATTATGAGCACTAATAATCCTTATATTACAAGCAGTATGTTCTTTATGTTGTGCTGTCAGCCCCAAATTACAAATGCTCAGATCTTCCTGAAAACTATCATTCATTTACTTTCATTTCTATTCA